CCCAAAAAGAAACACTTTCACTTTACGCTATTTGGTTGCACATTCAACAAGATGTAAGGAGTGGTCTGGCCAGCAATCAGGGTTGATTGCCTATCCAAATTTGACATCTAGCCCTCAGAGTCTGTCCGCAGGAGTGTTCAAGACATGTAGCTAACGCCACTGCGCTAACCCAAGACCCTCCCGCTGTTTCGCGATAGCAGCGGTGATCGTTCCGCTCGATCCACTCCCTCCTCTTCATCGTCGCCTACGCGCTCAACGTCTCCGTGACTACTCTTCGTCCTCCAAACAATATAGGCGTACCCAAGCGGCGGATAGAAGAAGACACGGCACGAAGTTAGCCCTGGGTTACTTCTTTCGACGGCTCTAGACTCACAGCAACAATAAACTGGCGAGCGCATCACGCTGGACCCGTCTTGTAACGTATTTCGGATCTGTATAGTAACCTCGACCTGGGCCAAATGCAGAGTCCAGTATAAGCCAAAGCCATAGTCCTGTAGCAAGGACCGACTTCACGATCTCAAATACGAACGCCTGGAATGGCGTCGCGATTGCCTTGCGCTGGACGTATACAATGAACACGATGCCGGCGGACATGAGCGCCGTTATGGAAGATGCGCTGCAGACGTTAGTCCATCTGCGTATGAAAGGATTGGTGAGACGTGTCTGTGGGTAGACGGCGCACGTACAAGAAATAGTAGTAGTTCTCTTCCCAGGCATATGTCATCTGTTCCCAGGCAAAGAAGCCCAGTATTACCATTGTGGGAATGGAAACGATGGCTTGGAAGATGCCAAAGCCGCGAAGGGCCTGTTGCCCAAGAGGGCGGCTTTCGATACTCGCCATAGTGATGAACTTGGTCAAATGTGCGAGCTGATGGCTCAGTGAATACAACAGGCAGAGGAAAGGCCTGATTTTGCTAGTATCCTACTTAAAATTGGACGGAATGTGGTCGTATCTTGTACTCTCGAGACCTGACACCGCAATCAGGTGCAACTGCTGCTGCCTGGCGTGTGAAACATCAGGCCTGAAGATTGTGTGGCGCAGCCTGAACATCGTATCGATGCGGCCAAGATATGCGAGGTTTGCCTTACTGTGCCATTTGATTGCACGTATCCTGAAGCCTTGCCAGATAAGAGTTAATTAACAGTGATAAGCTACTAAGCCTCTCACTTCTTCTCCAACCTCCCCTTCTCATCCTTCAATATCTCCTCCACAGTATCCTCAATACTCGGTCCCTTCGGCTGCCACCCCACCAACTTCTTCGCCCTCTCCGCCTTACCCCTGCTGTTGAACCCCCAACTCACAGCCTCAAAGCCCGCCTGCTCGATCGCCTTGTCCTTACCCAGCTGTTGCTCCTTCAACTCCTTCTTGCTAACAAGGCCCAGCTCAGTTGCCTTCTTGCCCATGAGACGCGCAAGATCAGCCCAGAGATGCTCACCGTTCTCAACGAGGTAGTAACCCTGTTCGTTCCAGAGCTTAGCATCGGTGTTGTTGTTCACCGCGGCTTCGGTGAGTAGAACGAAGAGCTGTGCGAGGTCGGAGACGTGGACGTTGTTCCAGCGTGCTTTTCCTTGGCCGATGATGGGGATGTATTCGCCGGTCAAGATCAGATGCGCAAGTTCATAAGCTTGTCGACTCCGGGTGTTCGATGGGCCTCGTCCGCGTCCGTAGATGGTAGGTGGGCAGAGGATAGCTGTCTTGACTGATTCGGAACCGGCGGAAAGTACGAGGTCGTCGACGTTCTTGTGGAAGGCGTCTTTTGGCAGGCCGGTTAGGTCTTGCACGGCGGTCCAGTCGTTGTACTCGCGTTCTGACCATTCGCCTAGCTTGTTGTCGTCGCGCATCGTTTCCCAGCATAGGATGCCGGTGCCGCCGGTGTGGAGCCAGAAGCCGGGCTTTTCTTTGGAGTGGCCGGATGCTAGGCCCTTTGCGATTGCCTTTGCGGCACCTTCGTGGTCGGATGCATCTGCGGTGTCTGCGATTGTTAGTATGGACTTCATTGCCAGAAAAGGCTGCAAATAACTTACGGATGACTACATCTGCCTTTGCTGCCTCATCTTCCAGGGTCTTGGAGTCGTCCAAACCACCGATGACGATCCGTACCTTGGGGAACGCTTCGGTGACAGTCTTTGCTTTTTCCTCTTCACCAATGTCAGCATGATGCCCCATTCATCATGAGGAGGGTGATAAGTACCTGTCCGCACAAGAGCCGCAATCTCGTAGTCAGAGTGCTTGTCGTACAGCGCAAAGAGGGTGTCGCCCCCAATGTACCCAGTCGCGCCGGTGCTGCATGGGAAGAAACGTCAGTAAAGTGAATCAGCTTTGCGATGTATGGACGTACAGGAAGATCTTAGGTGCCATGATTGAAGCAATTGAGATTCTGAGTAACTGCTCAAGTTCTCTGGGGTCCCTTCTGATGCCTGGTACTGATACACTTCATATCATAGATGTAGCGCGACACCTGCGGGTGACGTCATCACGCTAGAAACATCGGGACCACTGGAAGAACGTTTAATCGCACGGCAAGCCTCGGATCTAGCCCTCCTGGTGGTGCACCTCAAACGTCACTTTCGCTCCTGTTGTTCTTATTAATGATTTCAAATGTCGATGTGTTCTGCAAGAGGCTGGTTAGCAAATTCGTGGCGTGCCGCGTAGCCGCACTGCTTACAGCTCGCATCGTCACAGCGCGTTCTCTTCTCCGTATGTCATTCTTCACGTCCATGGATATAATGCGGTACAGTGACATACGATGAAGAGAGAACGCCAGCTCTGTGGATACGCTTGCGCTAGTACAGGTGCATGCGATTGTGCCCCACGATCTCGGTAAGATCTGGCTATGTCGTTTCTGATCAGTCGTCTTTGACACTTACCACGCGCCACCGGTCATGAGGTGGCATGGACTGTCACATTTGATACGTGCTATGACGGTCTCAATGGTGTGTGTGTATGTCTTGTTACGCGACCCTAGAACAAGAATCCACGTAGGACATAGGGCTTTAGTATGCCCAGGTGAGACTGCAACATGACAGTGTATAGTACTTCGGTAGAACGTATGCTGCCGAGGGCGGCTCTCGTTCTAGCAGATGGAGTTGATAGCATGTGCTGATTCGTAAACATTTAACATTTTTCTTGTAGCGCTCAAACCGCCTGTTAAACTCAGATCGCAGCCTTCTCCATGTACCTAGTGTCTTCACGATTCTTCGCGTTCCAGCATCTCCATTCCTATAGCACGACTCTTGTCAATCAAACCCTGCGATACCCGGACAGATGTGTTGGTATATTGGAAGATTTGAAAGTCGAAGAGGTCGTCAACCATATCCTCCAGCTCCTTTGCAGTTATGTTAATCTGGGCCTGCAACTTCCGTATTGCGATCCACTGCGCGACACGCGCGTGAACAACAGGGATAGGTATTTGATGAGCCCTCGCCTTCGTCATCTTATAATGTTCGTTTAAGAAATGCGGTATTCGTTGCCCATACAGTCGGCCCAACATTTTGTTCATCTCGTAATGCATGAGACGTAGAATAGAAGCTGGCCACAATTGAGAATGCTTGTCAAGGAAAGCAAAATGGTCGTAGAAATGGTGAATAGGCTTGACCCGAGCCGAACCAGCTCGATTGTATTCTGTCGAAGCGGAGTTGTGCCTTGGCTGAGATGTTTGAGTCTCCCGAGGATTGAGAATCAACTGAATCCAATGGCTACCATGAAACCGTGATGGCAAGGCAGAGATACGTTTCCACAGGCCAAGTCCAGAGTCTGAAATGGATGGCTCGACAGTCGACCGTACATGTTGCGTTGACCTACGCACATTTCGCAAAGCTTCTCGTTGGCTTTCCCTCTTACAATGAAATTGTACCTTGATCTGGAAGTAGTCCATGTCAAATAGTGATGCTGCCGATACTACGCGAGTATTCTCCAGTTCTTTGAGCATCTTGTTCATGAGCATCGCAGTATGAAAAATATTCTTGACCGTCGTGCGCAAGTCTAGAGCTCGTTTCACAAATTTACGGTCTACGAGGAGGTGTGCAGTCGTCAATGCGTCACCCGTAGCTATCCGTAGTGGTAATGTGCTAAGGATAGCTTGCCGTGTACTGCCATGATACTCTACCAGGTATCTGTGTAGCTTAGGGCATTTCTGTTCGATGTCTCTACGACTATGCAGATATTTATCCTTTACCATCTTGTGATACTGGCCTCGGCATAAAGAACGAGTTGTCTCCCCGGATGTCGTTCCCGAAATCCAAGGCTTTTCGGGAAAATCTTTCCAATTATAGTTGCAGAGGAAACTAGTGCTGCAGAAAAAGCTTGCAAGCAGTGAGTATGGAGAGTTGCGCGTCAAAAGTTTGAGGTCCTCTCCTAACTCTTCCAGTCGTTTTTCGAAATACAGCTGGAATGATGCATCATCAAAGCGTTCTTGTTTCCGGCTATCCAGACCTGACGGTGGCGGTCTATCGTCAAAAGTACGCAACCTTTGGTGCTTTGGGGCATTTTTCTTCCCAAATCCGCTGCGAGGGGGAGCCGAGGACGAATGCGTTGTTGGAGTAGGTACGCGCGCACTAGAACTGAGCTGCCTTGTGATTGGCTTTGGCAGCCTCATCATGGAGGTGAGCTGGTGAACGAGCGAGCTGGTGGGCGCTGTTGCTGTTAAAGATGCGTTGCGTGAGAGAAGTTCTGCTGAAGACCGGGATCTGTGCACGGCAACGGCGCTAACACCAAATTAGGCAAACGCTAGACGCGATTCTTGGGAGTAAGGGGTTACTTAGGTGCAACACAGCAACGACGATAGAGTACACCTTTGACGTAGAGTACGGCCTGGTATTGGTTCGTCCTAGTCTATAGTGCCTTGGTATACGTTACGACTAAGCACTCGATGTTGAGACAAGTTAAGGTAGGCCACTACAGTTTAATAATTAAGAACTATCGGCATGAATAAAGAATACTATACATCGTCGCTTGTACCTCCCACACCAAGGTGCGACTCCAATCTCCTCCTCTTCATCGCCTAAGCCACCTCCTCAACCTCAGTAAACCGACGACCAGCCTTTGAAAAAGCACCTTCCTTCCCACCCTTCAACACCATATCCAAGAAAGCCGCAACATACGTAGTCGTAAGGCCCGTCATCCTACGACCCTCAATAGAACCCAGCAGCTCTCCTACCTGCGCTGGTAACTTCCCATCCAAACCCAATGCAGAAATGACCAAGGGGAGATCCGAGAAGCTGTAGTGCGCTGAGTGCTTAACTTCAAACTCCTTCTTCCAACCAGTGAGGTTTGGCCAGATGGTCTTCCAGGACGGATCAGTTTCTTGTGTTTTGTTCTCGTGGCCCATTAGCATGAAGGGGCCGTTGAAGCCGGTCGTCAATACGTGACCGAACATGGAGCCATCGAGGTTGACACCGGCCTTGAGAGAAGTTATTGATATCATCGCGCTGGCTGCTGCTGCACCTCCCAGAGAGTGTCCGACGACGGCCATCTTGGGTGCATTCTTGGCGCCCGCGTATCCTGGAAGTAGGTCTTCGATGGCTGAGGCGTTCTTCATTTGCTTGGAGACGAACTCGATGTCTGCGACTCGTGTGTTGAGTGCAAGTTCAATCTCAGCATCGCTCTCGATATCGACACCCGTCACTATGGTACCATCCGGGAACTCAACCATGTCCGCATCGTAGGGGTGATCAATGGAAAGCACCACATAACCAGTAGCCGCGATGTTCTGGAGCAGGGCGTTGTACAGGTGTCGAGATGTAGCGAGTGCACCTGAGAAGAGGACAACTGGCAAGTCTTTTGAGCAGCCCCCTCTTTTGGCTGGAGTCATGCAGGTATCGAGGCCTAATGATTGGAAGCTGCCATTTGGAAGACCGTATGCGTCGAACTTGGTGTCCATGAAGGATGCGGTCGCGGGAGGCATGTAGGGTTCGATCTTCTTGCGACGGCATTGGGTGGTGGGGTAGAAGCCGGATACCATGATAGATCGAGGGCGGCCATCGTTGGCATATGGGTCCGAGCGAGTATGGTCGGTTAGTGAGGCGGAAGCGATCATCACATCTTGATGATGAGAGGCGACGATTGGCAGTGTAGTTTTGGCAAACGTAAGGCCAGGCGAAGATGCCAAAAGCACTAGCAGAACTGAAGTGCGAAGTCCCATGTTGTCGATTATTGATAACGGCGAAGATGATATGTAAGATCTTTGGAAGTTGGAGGCGAAAGCAGAGGAAGGTGCTTGTGATGGATATGTTTGAGAGCATGAGTGGTATCTATAGTCTAGACGGAGGTAAGCATCTACGTGAATGAGATGCTCGACCCTTTTCCGAGCGCTCTATCGTGACCAAAAGCGGACATGACAGTGGATACGACTATACTCCGGTTTCTTTGCTAGTGCAGCAGAGCCGCATTTTCGACTGACATGGGTAGTGGAGGAGATCTTGCTCGGCGGTTCGTCGGTGCCATTGGTCTCTAGTCCCAAGGAAGTTTAGATGCGTTATTTCGTTTCCTAAAACGGTCAAGTTAGCTGGCACCGCCTGTAGTGGGCCCGTTGCTCGTATGCTTCGTCCTTCAGCGACGCGATACCACTTCCCGAAGCATCCTTTTACGACATCCTGCAAATCTCCGATGCTGTGATAGACGACGCCTCATCGATTGCCTTGCATTAGCAATCTGCCTTTGTCGCTACACAACTTACCCTCGCACGAGCGCCACGCATGTCACCCAGCATTGGGCCGTATGATGGTCGTAAGGCTAGACGGAAAAGGTGCGAAGCCTGTGTTAAGCGCAAAATCAAAGCAAGTGATTCAGCCCTACCAAGTCTGCCAGCACTAATTGGTTATAGTGTAATGGCGGCGTTCCTTGCGATTACTGCAAAGGGAGAAGACAAGCGTGTGTGGTGCCCACGAGGTCGGCAGTTTCGAGTTTTGTCTTCGTTAACCCAGGAGCCGAGAAGCAGCTTCAGCCACGATCGCCAATTAGCCCAGGGAGAACTGAGCAAAACATGGCTTACTTTTTCAGCTCCTTCCTACCGATGAATGTTCTTTCCAGTGGTGGTCTACTACTGCAAAAGGAGTTGCAAAGCATGATGCATTCTTCGGCCGCTTTGAGGGATGCTCTCTGTGCAGTAGCAGGTTTGCACCGATGCCAACGGGTCCAATGGGAAGTCTTGGGAACCAAAGATCCTGAAGGACGCCAGGGCGCGATGCAGCTTTACGTAGGATCCGTGAGAAGTGTACAAGCCCGCATTACCCACAACAAGTTTGCGGACGATCCATCAACACTGTGGACGACCTTTCTGCTCGGCCTTTTCGAGGTAAGCGCCAACTCTATACAGGAGGCGGCAACGGCTAACATGGCTTAGCTAATGTGCGATGCCAGCGGGACCAACTGGCTCTCACACTTCCTGCACGGGACTTGCGCAATCTTGCGGCTCCAACCACCTTCATGCCTTGCTCTTCCAGACCAAAAAAATACGCAGAAGCGTAACTTCTTCCTTTCAGCCCGTATATTCGAGATATCGAGGGCCTTGATCTACTCAGAACCAACTTTTCTCAGTCAGCCTGTGTGGACTACCGCACTAACAGAGCTCTGGAGTGGCGAAGGTGCAGCACTTTGGCACCCGAAGGAGGCGCTCTTCGACATGTTGCCCAGCTTTTCCGAGTTGGGTATACGTGCTATCCAATTCTGTGAATTTGAGGCAGAACATCTGCCGGAGCGAGTGCAAGCTGAGCGTGCACAGTACCTTGCTGCTGAAGGCTTGCTACTTCAGCAATCCCTGCATGAATGGTGGGAGGTCAGCAACTACTGGCAGTATGCATCAGGTGCATCAGACCCAGAACTTCTCGTTGCCCATATATACTACCACGCCGTTAGCATCTATCTTTCGGGCACTTACGACTACCATGTATATTGGACCAAGCCAATGGCACCATGTGCGCCGATCCTAGCTCGCTCCCAGATCGAGTGGCACATGCGTCAAATCCTGTGCCTGAGTCGCGAGTTGCTGGCTAACGGGGTTGCGGGTGTGCTACTGTTTTTTCCTTTGAGAGTCGCAGGAGCGCGTGTCCGGGATGCTCATGACATGCACGAGGTCTTGGATTTGTTTCGTAGCGTGCTGCAACGCGGGTATGCCGTCGCTGACGCAATGATAGCCGATCTTTCGGAACTGTGGTCGGATACAGCTACAGCTTAGTCTCAAGGTCCAGATGCGCACTTCAAGCCAGGGTTTCCGTTGTCTTTTGTGATGTCACTCAGGTTTGAGTTTACGATGTTACCTCGACAGTCCAGGCCGATAGACGCGTAGGAACATTCGCAGCCGGCGTGATTAATGGCTTGGGTAAGTGTCCATACATCACGAGGTAATCGCCGTCATGTGAAAGCTCCTCCAGTCCGGTCGTCGGAAGGTGAATGTTCGAGAGAGTTGTATCGGGGGTGAGCGGCCAATCAGGTTGGTGTTATTCGCTCTTGCCGCGCCTTGCCGCATCTGGTGCTAGCAGAAAAGGCTTGGCATCCCAGCACCGCTCGCAGCTTTCTGACAGCAACGTCAACGCCGCCGCTCACGCATTGCACCTCCACACGCAACTCTCACACCGTCAAAATGGCTATGGGACCGTCTGAAACCCTCGCAAAGACCAAGACCACGTACGTCCGCGCTCCACCCGCACGCAGCCCCGGGCACCTTCCCCGAAAGAATCCGTTCTTCGACCCGCCTCGCATCGCACACCCATCGGAGTAGGAAGGAGATCATGCTGACAGTGGCATAGTTGGCACATCGGCTCATGGGGTAACCCCTACGAGGGTGGTGGCCGCCCCGGCAAGGGCGTCGTCACCTACGCCTTGAGCCCCAACCGACAGCGCCCCATGGCTACTTTCATTGGCAAGGGCTTCTGGAACGTCATGCGCCGCTCAAGGAACCAAGTCCTCTACTTCATCCCCCCTCTGGCTATCGCATACGGCACCATGCAGTGGGCTATCGAGAGGTGAGTCAATGGATGTTACCAGGAACAGCAGGATCATATATGGGCAAAGATGCGTTGAATGGCACGCTGACAATGACATCAGGAACGAGTTCCTCAACTCCAAGACTGGCCGTGCCCTGTTCGCCGACGAGGAGTAAGTGGCTGTATAATAAGAGATGAATGAAGGTGTATAGCACCAGGAGTTGGAGGAAGGAAGCGGAACACTACAATGCTCTTTGCATCGAGCCAACGAATAGACTGTACAACCAACATGCATCTTCTTTCCATTCGGATTGCATTCCTAGTCTACTAGATGAACGTCTGTCGCCCCATACACGGCCCTTCGTTGATCACCTCATACTGTGGAACCACACCATCGTCAAAAGGCGCAGTAATGGCGACTGTGTCTTGGTCACTCGGATAAGTCGTTATGTGTCCCTTGCCCGTTGTATCCGCAGCGACCACCAGACCGCCCTTACCCCCAGGCAACCACAGCTCCTGAGATGGGTCCTGGGGTAAAGTGATACGCGCGAGTCCAGATAGGAAGTGGACGATTCTTGAAAGCGTCAGCGCAGCTCAGCGTACAGCCAATCTACTCACTGTGTTGTAGGCGCATTATGCAATCCGCCGTCAAATCGCGGTGGCTGGATGACATAGCCTAGACTCGTCACATTGCCTAATGCTATGGCACGGCTTCCCGCGGTCCCTGCTATTGTAGATACTGTGAAAGGGTATCTCAGGCGCCAGCATTGGATGGTCGTGGTGTTCTCAGGTGTGGTGACTAAAGCAGGTGCAGTCAGGTAGGTAGTGTTTGAAGAATTGGGTGTTTGGGCGGATATGAGAAAGGAGAACGTGACCGCAGCGAAGGCTATGACAGAGTGACGCATTGCTATGGTGGGATTGATTGGGAAATGGAAGTCTTTGGCAGTTCGAAGACCTTAAGTATCTATTATACCGGCCCGGATGAATAAACATGGCGCTGACTGCGTGTGAATAAGGTTGGTGCTGCTGTGCGCTATAGCTGCGGGCTGACGGCCTTGGGCCCATGGTCGTCGCCCAAGACCAGAACGGACGATGGAATTAGTCCGTCGGTGCATCAAGCATCGCGCATCTGCATGATCGACATGCATGCGCTCAATGGACATGCTCGGGTACGAACTCCACACGAGGACATGGAATTGCACATAGTGTAGTGGGATTATCAGTCTATCATCAGTTGAATTCCTACTTGCGCGTCTCTTGGACATTGAGATGAATACGCGTGGCGGTCGGACCGAGGCAGGGAACCTACTCTAGAAGGAGGCAATTGGTGTCGTCTACACGTACCGCACATTCTTGCAGAGCATTGAGGCGGAATATAAGAGGCTCAAAAGCAAAAGAAACAATCGAGTCAAGGCGTGGTTCTAGACTCTGGCACATGTTCACGCGTAATGCGGGCAGGCAGCCCCGCTTAGTAAGGCAGTCGGCGTGTCGGTGGCATGGGTAGAACTTCGATGATTCTGTCATATCCTAGCTTTCGCCATCGAAGCGCACCCGCCACAAGACATTCTTCTACTGCCAGCCCGAGGCAGTGAACAGGCGCGGTAATACAGTCACTCTTCTTTACTTGTCACACACCCCCTTCCATTGTTATATTATACCCCACCCCGCAGTCCCGGCACCTCTGTTCCGCCGCCATGTCGACACTCCTCCGCCGCTCAGGCAACCTAGCGCGCCTATCCCGACCCTGCCTCAACGCTGCCACGAGGGCACCACGCACATTACGCACACGAGCACCGATACCACAATGTATATATACCCAGCAACGGGTGCGGAGATTTGCGACCGGGCCTCCGGAGGAGCCCAAGGAGAAGAAGGATGACGAGCCAGCGAAGAAGGACAGCACGCCTCACAAGCCTGAGTTCAGATTGTCTGGAAAGAAGGAGGGAGAGCCTCAAATGTCCAAACTTACGCCAGAGGAGGAGAAGATGCTGGATCAACTAGTCTCGTTCGTGTCGATGGGCGTCCCCAAGTCACAGAAGCAGAACATCAAGGAGGCAATGGACGAGATTAAGCGCACTGGAATACCACCAGAGCTGCGACAGGAGATGGACAAGCTGGAGAGAGGCGAGAAGCTGGACCTGGCCACCGCAGCCAAGATCTCGCGGTTAACAACCAACATGGCACGCAAGGCGGCGGACCAACATCAGCAGAAGTTCAAGGACGGCTCCGAGGAACCACAGCAAAAGTCGGGTGCACACGACCCAGGCCCAGGCAAGGGATCCAAGGGTGGCGCTGGCGGAGCTGGTGGACCAGTGGGGCCCATGTTCGGCGGCGGTATGGACACCAACACAATCCTCATCAGCGCCTTCCTCGCATACCTCACATACAAGACCATCTTCCCGAGCGAGAACTCCAAGGAAATAACATGGCAGGAGTTCCGAACGACCTTCCTGGACAAGGGTCTGGTCGAGAAGATCGTCATCCTGAACGGCAACAGAGCAAAGGTCTACCTGCACCGCGAGGCCGTATCGTCCATGTACCCCGACTCGCCTTCCGTCAACCAGAACTTCTACTACTATTTCACAATTGGCTCCGTCGAGGCCTTCGAGCGCAAGATGGACGACGCGCAGTATGAGCTAGGCATCCCAAGCTCCGAACGCATACCCGTGGCATACTCGAGCGAGATCTCCTGGTTCGGTACCTTCTTGTCCTTCGGCCCCACTATCCTCGTCCTCGGTGCGCTCTTCTACTTCACAAGACGTGCGGGAGGCGGCGCTGGCGGAGGCGGTGGTGTGTTCGGCATGGGTAAGAGTCGCGCTAAGAAGTTCAACCACGAGACGGATGTCAAGGTCAAGTTCTCAGATGTCGCCGGTATGGACGAGGCCAAGCTGGAGATCATGGAGTTCGTCTCTTTCCTCAAAGACCCCAGTCGATTCCAGAAGCTCGGCGCCAAGATCCCTCGTGGTGCTATTCTATCTGGATCCCCCGGTACTGGTAAGACGCTTCTTGCCAAGGCTACCGCAGGAGAGTCAGGCGTTCCTTTCTTCAGTGTCAGTGGTTCTGAGTTCGTCGAGATGTTCGTCGGTGTTGGTGCATCGCGTGTCCGCGACTTGTTCGCCAATGCGCGCAAGAGCACGCCTTGCATCATCTTCATTGACGAAATCGACGCTATTGGTCGTGCCCGATCGAAGCAGAACTTCGGCGGTGGCAACGACGAGCGCGAGGCTACTCTCAACCAGATTTTGACAGAGATGGACGGATTCAACACCACGGAGCAAGTCGTCGTGTTGGCTGGTACTAACCGACCCGACGTATTGGACAAAGCGCTCATGAGACCTGGTCGTTTCGACAGGCATATCAGCATCGACAAGCCCACCATGGACGGACGAGGACAGATCTTCGGAGTTCATTTGGCGAAGATTGTCACCAACGAGGACATGGAATTCTTGAAGGGCAGGCTAGCAGCTTTGACACCGGGCTTCTCCGGTGCCGACATTGCCAACTGTGTCAACGAAGCTGCTCTGATCGGTATGTTTTTATGACCCTCTTGACTACACATGCACTAACAACCTGCAGCCGCCCGTGCTAACGCCGAGACTGTTGCCATGGTACACTTCGAGCAAGCCATCGAGCGTGTCATCGGAGGTCTCGAGAAGAAGTCCCTTGTACTGAAGCCCGAGGAGAAGAAGACCGTCGCCTACCACGAGGCTGGCCACGCTATCTGCGGTTGGTACTTTAAGTGGGCCGACCCTCTCCTGAAAGTCTCCATCATTCCCCGTGGCCAAGGCGCTCTTGGATACGCCCAGTACCTCCCCAACGGCGACACATATCTCATGAACGTCAACCAGCTGATGGACCGTATGGCCATGACACTGGGAGGACGTGTATCTGAAGAACTCCACTTCGACACCGTCACCTCGGGCGCATCCGACGACTTCCGCAAGGTGACCGCCATGGCCACCGCCATGGTCAGCAAATGGGGCATGAGCAAGAAGATCGGATACATCTACTTCGAAGACGGCGAGGGCCAACAACTCACCAAGCCCTTCTCCGAAGACACCGCCAAGAACATCGACATGGAGGTCAAGCGCATCGTCGACGAAGCCTACAAGCAATGCAAGGACCTCCTCACCGAGAAGAAGCACGAAGTCGGCCTCGTCGCAGAGGAACTCCTCAAGAAGGAGATGCTCGGCCGCGAAGACATGATCAGACTACTCGGACCCCGTCCCTTCGAAGACAGCCAAGATTTCCACAAGTACTTCTCTGGTGAGTACGGCAAGGCGCCTGGGTACATCGAGCCGCAAGGCAACGATGGTGTCAAGGGCCCATTGGTTCCTCCCAGCCCAGCGACTTTCAAGGACCTGGATGCCAGGAGGTGATGGTGGCTGAAGATGTAGTTTTATCGATCTTTTCCTTCTTCTTAGGTGCATTGTGGCATGGTTTTATGACACGGAGGAGTGCTTGGCGATGATCCAAAGGGTTTCATTCCACTCTAGACGTAAGCATGCGTATGGTGTCGTGGCTTTTGTAGCATAGACAAGTGCGCATTGGCTTTGTAACAGTATTGTTCGCTCGGTCTGTAAGCGTGGGCCGGCGACAGAAATATCCATTGTAAAGTTCAAAATCTTCATCTGCCTTGTACTTGTTGTGACCCGCGTGTGACCCTTCATTGTCATTTTGCGTCCTGGACTTCGGGTAGGCTACCGCCTCATGCAAGGAATAGACTGAACAGGCCTGCAGCGCGTAGCCAATAGTAGGCCAACAACTAGTGGATGAGAAGATGTAGCGTTGATGAAGGCTTCGCGGTGTTTGGGTTTTGCCTTGAATGTGATGCTATGACTGAACTAGTGGGCACAGCAGCTAAATTGGTGGCTCAATATTCATTGGAGAGGGAATTGTATATTGCATTGATGAAAGCTTTGTAGAGTGAGAGATGAAGCCCACTGCGCCTAGACAAAGAGAAGAAGATAGCAAGTACTTTAACTAAGCATATTTGATCCGTGGGTTTGGACACCAAGGAGGGATCAACGTAAGTTCGGTAGAACAAAAGAACGTCAGAGGATGTAAAAGACATCCGAAGAGATCGTCGAAAACGGTAGCAGTGGGAAAGCGCTGGAAATGTACAAAAGAGCATGAAAGAAGAGCTTTTGTCGGAACCGTTGATGAATGCGAAGACTTCCTCCAACCACAGTCCATGTGTATCAAGGAGACGCCGAGAAAGTGTCGCACAGTGCTAAGCGCCCGTGATGGCTTTCGCCTTTTTGCGATCCACCGCTTTTTGTATCCGTTTCGCAATCTTTTTGGAAATCTTGCCTCTGCCCTCGCGTTTACGACCAAACCGGACGATGTGATCATGAGCTGGCTCAGGATCAGCGTCATGGGCAAGTAACAACTTGACCATTGCTTTGTCGCTCCGAGCAACGGCATTGACGAGTGGGTGTTCAAATCTGTCAGTGTAGCTTCGCAAACCATTCGAGCTCATGCCCCACTCCAGACACTTCTTGGCGATTTTGATGTCCCCTTTCCGAGCCGCCAGTGCTAACAGAGATGCAGAGAACTCACCCGGCCTTCCACAGATGTAAGCTCCTCGGAGATCCATCAGGTTGCGACCGATCGAAGCTTCGATGAATGAGTCCTGATTGTCAATACCACTGGGGTACAAATTTGGACCGTAGAGACGTTTGATTAGTAGATTCCTCGTTGCCAGAGAGAGTTTATGGTCAAGCAGTCGATGTAAGAAGTCTGTCGCTTGAGCACCGACTGCTTGGTTGGCCCATGCCACGATCGTTGGCGGCTGTGGCTTACGGCAATGCTGAAACCACCAGTCTATCAGCACGATGGCCGTATCCCAGTGCCAAGAGGCAACAGCAGCCCATGTGACTTCATCAAGCGCCTTGTTCAATTTTGTTTTGGCTGTGTCTGTGAGAAGGCTCCTTGCGTGTTCCAAGAGCTGAGAAACGACATCGATGGCTCGGACTTTTGCAGCAACGGCGATGGGTGACAAGAAGACGCCGGTTTTATCCCATATAGAGACGCCGCGAGATAGGTAGTGAGTGACAAGCACTGAATCCTTCATCTGAACGGCAATCATCAAGCAGTACGCTTCAACTCGTTCGTTCGCTGCCTTAATACAGGCGGGAGAGGAGGGACTTGTGGCGAGGCGCAAGACGTTATAATAGATAGTGCAGCAATCCTTGATTGCATTGCAAGCTTTCTCTGTATAGGCTGCGCGGACTACTTCCGTTGACTGGCTGGTAGCAGTCATGAATTGATCGACTACATTCCGAACGACAGTAGTCAAAAAGGCCGGAGCTCCATGAGAGACTTTGCACCTGTATTCAAGGAATAATCCGAGGTTCTGGACGACTAGTTCCTCGGCTCTGCGAGCTGAATACGCCGTCATTGGCTGTCTTCCAAGACATTCCTCGGAGATGAAGGCCGCGAATGTTTCTGAAAACGAATCAGTGTATGTTCGGAGTTTAAGAAATGGCACTTACTGCAAACCTTGCGGCGCTTCCATGCCTTGCAAACCCCAACAGTATGAACATAGCTCTCGATAACCTTTTCGAAGATCTCTGGCGGTAGATCCAACAACTCCATGATAAGTATTGGTCGGAGGGGTTGATAAAGAGTGAGCGAATCAAGGGAATTGTAGGAGGAAGGAGGCTTCATATGCGAGGCATCAGATCGTCCAGAAGCTCACTTTTGCAAGAGCGCTAGTGGGTGAGAGAGTCGAAGGTGAGGGTGCATGAGCCGAAAGAAGACGAGAGAGCTTGAGAGTGTAGGCGGTAAAGGCAAAGTGAGAACATCGCACGGTGCGAGATACCAGGCTGCCTAGTGCGCGCAAAACCATATGCGGGCGCTTTTCGCAGCATCTGAAGAGCAGTTGGAAAGATCGGAGCGTATGTAACATTCAGAACAGGCGCAGGCACAATGACCGTTCGTCGATGGGGTTCTACTCGCTGGTGTAGAGAATAGGATGCATGGAGAGCGATGACGCACCTACCGGCCGACTTGAGCAGGTGCCCAGGTGGTCAAGGAAGGCACAGTCAGGGCACGTGACCTCTCACGGACGCTTAGGACTCATACACATGTGATTGAAGCAGAAATCCTGTTCTCGCAAAATAGTCTTTCTAGAAGTAAATATATACACTAATCAAAAGTCCCCACCATCCTGGCATTGTCCGCTGCACTGCAGGTAACGCGATTGAAACATGCAGCACGATAGCTTCAGTTCATCCCCGACTCAACAAATCTAGCAGGTACCCTGACCGTTAGGCGTACCGCTCTTGTAAGCACCCTGCGCATCACCGAGGCACTCAGCAACCGTAACCATCTTAAGCCCATTGTTCTTCGCCCAGTTAATCAACCACGGAGTGAGCGTGTTAACCGTGCTGGCATAAGTCTCGTGCATGAGAGGAATGTGGCCGTTGCCACTGGTACCAGCCTGTTGGAACACCTGCTGGCTCTGCTGAGGGGTCTTGCCGTTCCAGTCGCCGGAGTCGACGTCGTCGGTGATGACGCGGTAGCCGAGGGTCTTCATCGTGGGGAGCACGTTGCCGCCGGTGGCGAGGTAAGGCGGGCGCATGTAGGTGGGCTTTACGCCGATGATGTTGACGAGGGCTTGCTCGAGGCGCGTCATTTGCGACGTGAGGTCGTTGGTGGAGAGCGAACCGAAGTTCGAGGGGTGGGACCAGGTGTGGGACGCGATCTGGTGGCCGGCTTTGTGCGCGTTTTGGAGGGCGGTCTTTTGGTTGTAGATGCAACCTGTTCATGTTAGATGGTGGTCTCAGCTCGTAGTAAATGAAGCATATACATACCGTAGAGCGATCCAGTAACGAAGAAAGTACCCTTAGCTCCTCCAGCGGTCAAGGTGTCAACGAGCTTCTGGGTGTATTGCGATGGGCCATCATCGTAGGCAAGAGCGATTTGACCAGGGTTGGCACACTTGGTGATGACTTGTCCGGCAGCAGGCCCAGCCCGCTTCATCATGTCGAGAGGCTCGGGAATCGGTCCAGCGATGGCAACCGCAGCAAAGGCCGCGACAATGAAAGACTTGACACCCATGTTGATGAAAGAACGACTGTTTGAACGACTGATGTTTCGAACTGCTCACATTGTAGGCCAATGCCCTCCATCTTATGTATAAACGCCAAGGCCCGCCCGCTGTCCTGAGGTCATTCCCGTGAAGCTTAGGGGCTCTTGGCTCGTTTATGGTAGACGACATGCTTAAACTGCTTGAACCGGGTCATCGGAGGCGGCGAGAAACCCTGTCCGGTAGTTGCTATAGTAGAAGCTCGGATGTTTGGTGACACCTGTCAGTGTGTCGCCGTTTTGGTCAAGCGAAGTGAGGCATGAACTCTGTGTCAATGCGAACACCCGGGGAACCAAGGTTGCCTGTATTGAACATCGCGCAAGACCCTCTTGGATTGACATCACATCAATGAAGATGCGCCGTTCGCCCGGAGCGCGTTCAGATGCAAATTCGCCGCGTTTCATTTCTCAGATTCCCGCCGGCTAATGTCTAAATCCGGGGAAGCTTGGAAACACGCCATGTGGAGCCGCGTGACATGCCGCGAAATTAATATAGAGGTCCAGAAGGCGGTGGAAGAAGTCTTCTGATGTAGATTAGGAGTGGCGTGTCCGTGTAATGTACTGCGACATCGCATCTTAAGGAGGGATTCCTGTCGACCGCTGCTAATCTCGTACCGGTTACATACAGTAGCTGCACCACACTAAAGTGGCGCGATTGTGGTCTCTGAAAAGAACTCGGAGGGCGTGCTTAGCTGTTGCATGCTGAATTCGATGACCCCTGGAGGCCCATCAGGCCCCAAGCCGAATTCGTTGCCAACACACGCCGCGCCATCCGGTGCTATAAGAGGTATCCTACCAAGGAATTTGGAGAATAGCGACTCTTCAACATAATGGGCAAAGTGCGACGCATCAGAAAGCGTAGATGCTCGTGCGAAGACGGAATTGGTGGCAGACTTGACAGTATGTGCTAAGCGCTGTCCTTCCGGTGAGTTGAACCCACCCAAAGCTTGCCAGGCTACCTTGATAGCTACAAAAGCTATGGTATTGGATTGCGGTGCACCTTCCCGCTGCTCGTACTCTTTCAACTCCAGGCATTTGGCGATTTTCATCGCGGCGGCGTTTCGCAGTGCGGTGTTGACAGGCGATGGAGATAATGAATCTTTGATCTGAATGACGCATATGTACGCGGTGTTGTAAAGCATCAATGCTGTTGCAGAAACGTGGTTGGCCACTCCCAGTGTCTTCGCCATGTCAGATCGCTCAGTCGTTCCAGCTAATTGATTCCGGTTCAAGACCTCCCAGAACGGGTGTAGCGCTTCCAACTCGTTAAGGACATCCTCCACTTCGATAAGCAAGGATTCAAAGCTCTCTGGACATGCTTTTGAGCGCAGTAGAGCATTCCGCTGACTGATGAGGCGGGTGCAGTCAGCCAAGATAGAGAAGACGTGGTGTTGGAAGAGTCCTGACTCGTTGGAATGTGCAGACGGAATCCGCTTCCATTCCTCGGTCGCGTATATAGAGGGCCTCGATTCCGCAAGTGCCCCAATGATGGAAAGGATGCGCAGGCCCCGAAAGATGATAGCGTTGGTACCTTCAGACTCCCTGGGCGGGCCTCTTAGCATCGCAATGGCGTCGAGACCTCGCAGGTGTTTCAAAAAGTTCGTTGGTCCAGTAGGTAGAAAGATCTCGAGAAGCATACAAGACAGTGACGTAAGTAATGTTTCGTTCGTCGTCTGAAGCTCGGTACGAGCAAGATGTGAATTGAGCTGCCGCAGCACCTGACCATACTGTTGATAGCCTTTGGTCGTGATATCGCCCTGTCGATGCTGGCTACCGAAGAAAGTGGTAGACAGGCTCACTATGCCTTTTCGCAATAAATCAAGACCAGGATCGTCGCTTCTCATGGACGCGGCATGGCTTTCGATCATGTTGCAGGCTATCTCAACAGGTCCCCCGCGTAGCAGGTTCTTTCGTGTATATGCTAAGCAGATATCATCTTCGAAGGCTGCGAGAGATAGCTGATTTGGAGTAGCTATCCTGACGATTGCGTTCTGGGTTGTGTTTGCCGGCTTGCTTTCAAACGTGATGCTCTCATTGATCCAAGTAAGGTCTTTGGGCCCTTGACATTTGAGTCCACGCTTGATGCATTGTCCACATTCAGGGCGGTTTTCGTCTTGTCACGTCAGCACATGCAGCAGGTCTCTGCAAAGGTTGACCAGGTGAATGGACATACCGCATTTCACACGCCGGCGACGACAATTAGCACAACCTTTTGATCGACCACCCCGACTGACCATGTTGTGCTATGTATACAAAAGGAAAAGAACGCGCTGTATCGACTCTTCAACATGCAGGAAAGCAGGAGTCTTGTAGACAGAATGTGTCGCGATACGTGGCGTGGTGGGAGGATGAGTTTGGGCGTTGGTTCGATCCTAGATAGACGGAATGCACGATATTCATATTGAAGGATCAGCAGCGAAAAGGGCAGAGGGCGTCGAAGCTTGGTGGCTGAGTTCGCGAAGTGTTCCCCGTATGTCGAAGGAGCGGGCTAGGCAGACGCCAAACCTCTTGGCAGGGCGCCGGAAGATGACCCCTCGACTAGCAAGAGGCATTATTGGCTTTCCTCACATCAGCAACGAGTACATCAAATCAACGAATGCCACGAACAAGCAGTTTCCATCACACGCAAAAATAACACAGGCAAGAATGTGAGGCAGGCTGCGTTTGAGGAGCCAATATTATGTGTCAATTTGAGGACCTCGGAGGTGATGAGCTATTAGGTGTCTGTAAGGACTGTATGCTATCGCAATAGAAAGAAATGAGACACACTGGAAAGTCTCTATACGGGAGCGGACATCACACCATGCCACTCAACCGTGTGGCCGCAAAGCAATAGCAAAGACCAAGAGCTCATACTGAAATCTGATGTTACTCAGGCTTCAAGGTTCTTGACTATCGATGTTGGCCCTACATGCCAATCATCCTTTTGACCATGCCTTGCGCCAATCGAGCAACCTCGCCATTGCTGCAGCGGTCCTCGTTGCCACCAATGGCACTGGCCTCACAGCCGTCAGGGTAGAAGAAACTGGCCAGCGCAATGATGATATAGGCAGCGATCAGCAAACTACCCTCAAGATAGTTACTGCGACCATCCAGTACCAAGAAGTTCACCACCAGGACTGTGACGAATAGTGCAACAGTCTCGAAGATGTTGAAGTACAGTGTCATCTCCTTGCCCATGATCCAACCGAGGATAACAATGACAGGTGTGATGAAGATAGCAATCTGGATGGAAGACCCGACAGCAATACCGATAGAAAGATCCATTTTGTTCTTCATCGCGACAGTGACTGCAGTGACGTGCTCTGCAGCGTTGCCAACGATGGGAAGAATGATAAGACCGATAAACGCTTGGCTGATACCAGAACTCTCAACCATGGGCTCAATAGCTTCACTCATGAAGTCGGCGCAGACAGCAACGAGACCAGTGCTGATCAGAAGCATGAAGATAGCAGCTTTGATGGACATGTCAGGTGCTTCATCGTCTTCGTCATCCTCGTTAAGTGCCATGGCGGCCTGTGGAGAGACGGCAGGATGTTTGACTGCGTTGCCGGTGGAGTCGGCGCGGCCAATTTGATCCGGGAGAGACTTGGATCGACGAAGGGGTGCACGCAGAGCTGTGTTGTCGCGAGGTGCTGCCATACGAATATTGGGCGCGGGACCGCCGAGGGGAGCGAGGTTCTGAGGGTTCGAGAAGACATTGTTGGAAAGTAGCGAAGGAAGAGCAGGCCGGTTGTATCTGCGAGGGTTCGAATTCATAGTAGTGGCACTGTCGTTCTGTACTTCCTCGGCGAAGGTAACCTTGGGCGTGGGCTCATTCGGCACGACCTCCTTTTCGGGAATGGTGTCGACCTTGTTGCGATCACGGCGGTCCTTCTTGCTCTTCTTGTGCCTACGTTTTTCCTTCTTCGTCACCGAGCGCGAAGTTTGCGAAGCGGCTTCGAAGTCGCGAACTACTGGGACGTATTGATCGTTATCGGCCTCATCACCACTCATGACGTCGAATGAGTGTCGGCGAGAAGTAATAGGAGCTGCGTTGTTGGCAGTGGCGACGCTATTGGTTCTCTCCGAATCGAAAGGACTCTGGTGTAGCTCACCCTCTGGCGAATTGAGGGCCGAGAGCGCATCTGCGTCTTTGGAGCTGGCGCTGGACTTGCGGCGAAGCCTTTTCACCATACGCTTGGCCTTCTTCTTCATCGTTCCATCAGAGTTCTTGGAGGAGCTGTCGCTGTCGCTACTGCTGGAGCTGGATGATGAATCGGAGCTGGAAGAGTCGAAAGCACCGGCAAGGACACCGGGATGTGACTCCTCGTCAATGATATGTTGGGGAGTGCTGGCGTAGAGATAACGATGACTCTTGAGCTGAAAGACGAGGTATAGGCCGTAGACTAGTAGGAGAATAACACTGGTTCCACGACTGACGGACAATGTCTCGTGGTCGGCGATGGCGTTGTTCTCGAAAGCAGCGTGGAAGGCAGTGGGTAGCAGAAGACTCATTACGGCGAGGGCCAGCATAACACCGCTCATCTGAGTGACGGTATTGTTGTAGACCTGCTCCTGGTACTTCAAACCACCGAGTAAGAATGCCATGCCCAAAATGAGAAGCAGGTTGGCAAGAATGGATCCAAGTAGAGACGCTTGTACGACCTCGATCTGGTCAGAGGCGAGCAAGATGATGAAGAGAATCAACTCGACAGCGTTTCCAAAGGATACGTTAAGCAGTGCACCGAGCGCATCTCCAACACGGGCAGCGACAACTTCGGTCGCGTGCGCGAGCAGGCCAGCCAGCGGAATGATGGCGATGGCGTTCATGGAGAAGACGATTTCGGGCTTCAAGTGCACAAGCTTGACTACAATGCCAAGAGGCACGAAGACGAGCAGGAGGTTGATCCAGCTGTGTGTGATGGCATTCTTGGTGTGGGATATGAATCGGAGGCTTCCGTTCTTGACACGCACGAGCGAGTAGAACGGACGCTTCTCGGATCCTATGGCGGGAGGCGTCGTTCCATCGGGCGCGGTATTGACGCTGCCATTATCGATGTCTGTGGAGCTATTATCGCTGGCAACGGGCTTCTCGCTATGGTCGCTGGTGCCATGTGCACTACGCGACGGGTTGCTGCCATCTAGGCCAGGGTGGGCGGTCGTGTGGGGGTTGTGGGTCGGAAGGACGTCGGTCTGCGTGTCTTTCTTGCGTCCCAAGCCAAGTGCAGATGCTGCCTTAGACTTGAAGCTGCGTATAGAGGGGTCGTCGGGTTCTCCCATCGGTTTTGGTGTTGTAGAGTTTGGGGGTGGTTGAGTACAAAGATGTACTTGGGGCGGTGGTAGAAGTGTGGCCAAGTAAGTGAGGCGCGGCCACCGCCTGCCTTATCAATGCTCGGCAAGCTTGACCCGGCTTGGTACGTGCTTAGTATGCAGGTGGATACCGGAAGTCGAGCGAATGACGTCGATCAGCCAGATTGGCTGCTACACGTGGACGGCGCGCACAGCCTCAGTGGCGCGCTATGGCTTGCTCAGGTTCTTGTTCGCGCGCGGCGAGTCTAGAAGGTGGCTGAAAGATGCAATCATCAAACGCGTCCTTCATAGAGTCTGTATGTCGTGCCATGTAAATGATGAAACTCAGATGGGAAGGTGCGCCTACCACGCGTTATCGTAGCATCCCTGACACGTTCTGGGCATTGGAAAGCGCGAGGCGACGACTAGGAAGCCGCCAACGTCGGCTTTCCCCCGCACGGTCATCATCATCAATACAGACGCCGCTGATCGTTGACATCAATCACACAGCGCCGCGCCTCCTGACATCCACTCTGCCATCAGAACATGCAGGCTCCCAATCTAGACTGCACACGACGCCTCACGATGCAGGGATCATGCCGAGACTGATGGCCTCGCCAACGCAGACCGTTTGTCACGTCCCTAATCCCCGAACGCTTAGCGTTCTTGTACTACCTGGGCATGCAACAACAAAAGCTTGAGGTATTCCTTGGAGCTATTGCTATCAGTTCTATCATGCCCCAACTGACGCAATTTTTGCAATGTAGGCAATTGACTTCTTCAATATGAACCTGTTGATTCGGAGATTTCTGTACCGATATCTGGTTGTGGGTCTCGCTACCATGAAGACCCTCTGGATGTTCACTTAGATGACATACTCGCTCGGGCGGTACTGCTTGAGATACCAGACCATATGGCATTTCTGTGGACATTATTCGACTGCAAGATTGAAGGTTGAAAGCTGATCGCAGCAACAGCGCGTCAATCCTGCACTTGGAGTCAGATGACTACGCGACTTGATACCCGTGGATTGCAAACGCGCAAATTTCTTGGCAGCGCAGCGATGAAAACAACTCAGTTGCAAAGCCTTGCACCATGAGATCTCCACCTTCCGGACACCATCATGAACTTACTTGATCTCCCAGCAGAAATTTTCTCCGCGATCATACATAACTACCTGCATGACTACCTATACAATGGCCGCGGATGGGCTGTAGCAGTCCGAGTACGGTATGTCTGCAAAGCCTTCGCGGTCGCAATACACGACGATATGTTTGGTCGATACTCCGCAAGGTTCTACCGCAGCTTCAGTGACGACCGCAAGCAGCGTCTACTCGCACCAAATATGTACACTATCCTCTCCAAGATGGGCTCCACCCGCTGCCACTCGACGTACATCCTCGATCACATGGAAGCTACGGTCAATTTCCTCATGGAATTTTCATATCATCAAACGCAAGCGCAGCGCGAACGCTACCGCCTGGCCCTCTGTAACGCCATGTCAGCGGCACTCTCGGTGGACGACGTTCTCGCATATCTCTGCCAGGGACCATTCAATGACTCGGTCAAGGCCAGGAAGAATATGGGCCGCGCAGATACGGTGGGAATGCTCGCTGCTGCCGCTGCTGTCAATAGTGAACCTGCCCTTCGTTTCCTTGTTGGCAAGGTATACGACGTAGGTCTACGTAGCGAGCTGTACGGCACGCCGCTTACCGCCGCCGCGGTCAATGGGCATCTTTACTCCGCTTCTTTCATTTATGAGCGTATGGAAAAACGCTTCTACAAGCGCAAACAACTGCACAATGCGATCAACGCATGTATGTTCGAGCAACGTACTACTATACTTCCTACACTCATGTCCTGGTACCTGAAGTATTGCTACTCTGGAAGATTGATCAAGGAAGCAAAGCGGGGCTGGATCGACTGGGCAGTTCGGAATGGTGATATGGGCGTACTACGATTCAGTTACTATCCCGAGGATGCAATCAATTACATACGCCGACTGGAGCCAACGCCCTTCCACACAGCCTGTCGATACGGCCACGCGCACATCATTCAGTACCTGCTCCAAGCCGATCCCATCCTGAGATGCGCAATTCGTAATGATGAAAAGGGTTTTATCGGCTCTAACGAACTATGGCAGGGTCTTACAGTGGCGGTGGAGAATGGCTGGCTTGTGGCTACCAGGCTGCTCATCCGTAGTGGTGTACAGATCGAACCAGGGAAGGAAAGCTACGTCCCATCTACGCCAGTGCTGTGGTATGCACTCAAGGGAGGACATATCGATACGGTGGTGCTATTGCTGGCTTATGGTGCTGTGGTGCCGAAGAGGAGCTCTGAGCGCAATGGCATTTGGAATCTGGCTGCAAACCACAGTGTGAAGACGGCAAGACTGCTTCAGGACATCTGGGATGAACAAGAAAGATGTAAGTGAAGGTTAAGGTTGATGATATACACTAGTGGGTGTGCGCGTTCGTCGTCCTATGAGCATGCGACTCGCCGTAGCAGCTGCCTCTTGCTATCTAGTCAAAAAGGTGCATCTAAACCTACAGAAAAAAGACTGCTTCGGGTGAGCATCATGCAGTAATCGGTTCTGTGATCTTGTACTGAGATGATTTACCGTGAGTTGGCTGCGATGCAGTCACGCCCGCCCATTAGGCCAGCCCGATGCACGCTGTAGATCCACCCGTGGACGCCACGGAAAGGCCCCACATCCCGCGTCGTCACGTCTCTTCCGCGCCGCCGCCACGCGTCACAGCGTACAACGTACCCTCATGCGTCCAACTTCGCTTCCTGCGCAACTGGCTGTAAAAGCAACAGCGTCATATGATACCTGGGTTCTTGTAGCGATCCCGCAATTAGCGACATCGTAGCGGCGCATCCGTAATCATCTGGAGAGCCGCCAACCTCCCTGGCACATCACAATCAGCATCTTACTTACCCTCATCACTCACTCTACCTAGCCCAGCCCTCTTAAGATGGGTCGCTGGACAGACATGGACAGCGTAACCTCCCTTGTCCACCTCCTGCCAAATCAGACTACTAATATAACCCCCAGGACGCCGAGCGCCTCCCCTCCGGCTTCGAGCGTATGGGCTACGACGCCGACACCCAAACCTACACCTTCCGCGACGCATCCGGCCTCATCTACGAATCCGAACCGGGCAATCGCTACAGCGAACTGCGTGCAACGGGCGAGCACTCGCAGCCCCCGTCCGACGAACAACGACGCGAGCAGGATGAGATGATAGAAGAAGGCAACAGAAGCGCTGTGCGTATGATGTTGCCGTTTGCGCTGCTGATGCTGGTGTTCTTGTTCTTGGTGTTTAAGCTTGTGAATAGGAGTGATGGGGCTGATACAGTTGTTGCTCGCTGTGGGGATGGGGAGCGCCAGTTGCGGGTTGAGAAGGGGGATACGTGTTGGGCGATTGCGGAGGCGAATGGGTTGAGTGTTGATGGTTTACTGGGCTTAAGAGGGAATCAGGGTGTGGATTGTGGGAATCTCAGGATAGGGCAGAGCATCTGTGTGCCGATGTTGAAGTGAGGGTGGTCCTATGTCGCTCCTCCAGGCCCGCTTTACCAATCCCTAAGGATATCAGGAGATGGAAAAGAGCATAATAAGAGGAGGATGTGGTCACTGCATTCCATTCAGGTCAAGATGCTGCCGACTTGTCAACCATCAGATGGTAACGAAGGATCATTCTTCACCAACCCGATTGGTATGCAGGAGGCCCTAATCGACTACCCACCGATTCTCCCACAGCCAGATAGAAGACTAATGCGTTACAAGAGGTCCATGTCATAAGCGTTAACTCGCAGAGCTTGGTCATGACCTTACGCCATGATTTCGCCTAGAGCCCTCGGAAGATCAGCGCGACAACATCCAGAACGACAAGAAGTTTTGAAGTCGCCTATGACGCAGGTACATGGCGACCCGGAGATGATAAATCTCATCCTGCTAAACCAAGCTCTTGGCAGTCCACGCATTTTCTTCAAGTCGAACGTCACGTTGCGAGGGGCTCGGAACTTCTATCTGGCTTCCAGACTGAGACTAAACGCGAACGAGCGCATTACCGTAGCTTCAGGCGCCCTACGTGGAGAACGGCTTTGCGATTACTGATATGAAGAAGTCATCTCTACATTGTGATGTTCATATGCATAGCCCGTATGTTCCACTTCTGTTTTAGCTAGTTAGTCGCCAATCGGTGCTGTCCTTGGATGATCCGATGCACCCAGAGATAAACCGATGCGCCGAGCATTACAGATATCAAACTTGGTGGAGGTGTTTAAGCCGCGGGACCGGTAAATCGGCGTAAGTCTGAACGGTGTTGACAGCTACGCGACACTGAATGTCCTCCCATTCAGGCAGAAATTGCGCTAATGTAACCTCCAGGGTCCAGAATTCAATTGGTAGAATGCTACCTGTCCATCAGGTTTGTGCAAAAATCTGCAGGTCCGCTTCGTGGAGATATAGCCTATACTGGTAAGACCCGGCTCGTCTATTCACACCCTTGCTCTTCAGCCTCTCGTAGCGTCGGTTCTTCCCGCATTAAGCAGGTCTCTCGTGTTTACGCATTTAACAGTCGGATGTAGCGGGTTGGAAAGGATTCTAGGTGGAGGTTACTCCACCAGGGCGTAATTTGGCCCACAGCTACACCTTGGTGTAATGAACTATCTTACGCCCGATACTTGGCTTAGAAGCATTCATCGGAGGACAAGTCTTTTTCCAATCCTACAGTCCCAGTTCTCTCGTACGCCCACGATTAGTGCAATCCTTCACAAGAGTTGCTTGTACGCGGATTGGCTCATACTTCCCGCAATCTACATCTTCCCGTGTAGGATCACGACCAGGCAGGAATCCAGCCTTGCTCTTGCGGCGGTCGATATGCACGCAACCCGAGTGAAAGACAGGTAAGAACAGCACGTTCCAGTCGCAGTCAGTCGCATGGCGTATAAAGCCAGCCGCCTTTCTTCCTGGTTTCATCTCTCTTTATTCTCATCAAGTCAACAACGACAACACCACCACACTCGAATTTGCCTCTCTTCTCATCAAACTCTCCACGATGAAGCTCTCTATTCCTCTCATCGCTTTGGCTTCGGCCACCAGCACCATGGCCGGCTGCTATGGCAGCGGCAAGCCCTACCTCAACGACTGCAACAAGAATTCGTTCCTTGATGCTGCTGACGACCTGTGTAAATCATTAACCCTCGCGGGATATTTCAACTATCGCCAAACGAAGACAGCGTGCGCCCCGGCCAGGTGCAATGGCATCAAGATGAACTACGAGGTGGGATGGAAGGGTAGCAGCGGAGGACATACCTTGGCTGTAGAAGACTGCAAAAGGCGACTTAAAGAAAACATCAACAACTGTCCATTGGGCGGCACTCAGACGGTCGCTGACTGGTTTTTCAAGTAAGTGGCTGTGCACATATGTTGCGAACTGTGCGAAGAGGACGAGAGCTAACGCCGTGGGATTGTAGGTCTGACCCTAATGACGGTGGCTGCTGATCGAACCAATTCGGTTGGTTCAACAGTGTCGAAGAAGTTGTGATTGGGATCTGTGAAGGCGGGCAAGTGAAGGGCGATATACCAGAGACACAGCGTACCGATATTGGGTATATGATTGATGGACTACGATACTTGCCGACTTGACTTCTGTGCTCTGCTGGTTTCCTCCCCATACGTTGAGTTTTCAACCGCAGCCTGCCCAGGTTGCGTTCCTCAAGTGATGTTGCAGTCAGAGTGACTATGAAGCAGTTGACGCAGGATGGCAGGGAAAGCCCAGGTTAGGCGTCCCATTAGCTCAATTCCACAACAGTGCATCGGCCCGTAGCCCTTCCAAGATTGCACCCAAGGATGCCAACACACCTTTTGGATACGACTTCGATGTCTTGTACACAAATCAAGGGCCGAATACATGGCGAGAGCGCATACTGCATAGCCTTCACACGACCGAATGTTCAAGATGATCACGTGTTTGATACCATTCGGGTTAGCTCTGGTCGCGACGGCCCCACCGAGGGCTTTCCCTCCGAAGTCACATCAACCGACAAACCTCACTCCTCAACGCGCCCAACGCCATCATCATCGCACTCAACTAGAAGCGCGCAGGAGTTCAGACGGCTCTTTACTCGTTTTGATTCTATTTCTTCATCTACCCAGGTTACATGTAGTAGGCAAAGGCCTCGTTCCTAGATCCTGCGAATCTGTCCACACCTGGGCATATGTCCATCGTTCCTTCGCCTAGCCGCAGCCAGCTTCTCCACAGCCATTTTACCCGCATCCACCACTTGAATGTATGAGTCTCTTCGCTGTATTACCACTGGTAAGCATGGAACGTCAAAGTAATACGAAATAATCGATTCAGGTACGCCATATCCTGAGACTGAACTGCTTTGAGCAAAGAAAAGCGAAACTTACCGAATTTCGAAAGACGAATCTATCTCGGGTCTTTCGTACCAAGATTGAGATCAGGATCGGCGCCATGATCTATCAACAACTTGCAGATATCGAAACGGCATTGTTGAGTAGCGTGGCGCAGAGAAGTTGACAGACCCTTAGCATCGGGGCGTAGGCGATGAGAATTTGCGCTGGCCGCCATGACGCGCTCAAGTGCATTCAAGTCTCCTCTCCGTACCGCAGTGTTGATCAAACCGTGGAATTGAGCGCGCTCTGTCCATTCGGATGAGTCCATGTTGCTACGGTCAAACAAACCGGCATCCAACAAGAAGGATACGAGAATACGGAAGAGCTGAGGATCGAAACGATGGCGTCTGCCATATCCATATACGCTGGAAGACCGTTCGGCTATCGTGAGGAAGCTCCGTCTGAATTCTTTTCGCATACTCGGCGTGGACAGTGCAATCAGCCTACCTAAGAAGCCCATCAATTCAGATGCGCAGGCTTCTTCGAACCACTCCCTGAGGTGGCGTATCTCCTTGTGCTTGGTATTTGAGATGTGCCATTCCAGCAGGACCAGCGCGATGGGCTCATTGCTCCGGAGAGCATGCGTAATGCCGTTTACGACCGTGCTGGTTTGTACTTTCATGACATTACTCACAGTTGATCGCTGAGTATGAGATAGTAGGACCTCAACAAGGTCGAGGTCATCGTTTTGCACGGCCAACTCCAGCGCACAACGCAGCTCGGATCCTGTCGATAATTTTGTCCACATGGCTCCCTGTTCGGTAGTGAGTGCGCAGACAATGTCCCTCTTCCCCATGATGACCGCGACACTCAGAGCCTCTTGACGCCCCGATGACGACATTAACCTGCTCCTGCTTTTATCACTCGGCTTATAGGCGAGCTTGCAGATGTTCGGGGTTTTGATCAGAGCGCCGATTACACCGCGGACCCAAAGAGAGCGCTTTTCAGGCGAGGTGTCACCGCTGACGCTGACGAGAACGTCGACAACCTTGTTGATATGCGTGGGGAGAACGTGATTGGCGCCGTACAGTGCGACCACTCGGTGCTCGAGGAAGGGTCTGAGTATGTTTCGCAAAAACGCCGACTCGCGCTTACCCAAGTTCCAATAGGCTGAAGCAGGCTGCTTGGCAAGCACCTCTGTTTCGATGTGCGCGCAGAAGGTTCCTGTAATCGTCAACAATGCTGTCCGTCATGAGTGGTGACATAATCGATTACTGCACACACTGCGACGAAGCCAGGCTCGTCGGATGCCCTCCCCATTGACGTAGTGCGCTATGACGCATTCGAAGATTTCGGTTGGAAGATCGAGCAGCTCCATGGCGGGATACGTCCGGTTGCAAAATGTGGTAGTTGCAGCAATAGCGAGGGTTATACCGAAAGACTTGTTGACTCGCCGATCTTGTGTGTGGCGAGGCGCACGCCCGCGAGCACGAGATATTTGCAGGTCGTGATATTCAGAGTCTTCGCAATGGTAGGTGATCAAAACAGAAAGCGGGGTGTACTTTGACCTGGTCAATGCATTCACCGACGTCGAGGCGCCAGGTAAGATTAAGGTCTAAGATCCTTGTCATGAGTTATAGGCTACGTAGGGAACCCATTGTACCAATTCTCACATCGCCGTGCGAACATCACTAGTAAACGCTCATACGACTGGACTTCTCGTAACCCATCTGTATCATCACATTCTACTCTTTTGCCAACAAGCCGCGAATGTGAAGATCGATGAAACTCAACAATTGTTGTGGGACGCTGTATATGAGATTAGCGGTTTGTTCAAGATTCATAGGGAAGCCTTCTGTGAGTTGAGATGGCTTACCTTTAGCGAAGAACGCGTAAGTGTCCGCGTTGTTGAGGTTATCCGTGGAGTTGAGCGTGATAAAGTTGTCGTATCCGTATTTGACATCTCCGACGCTGAACAATGCATGAGAGAGCTCATGCGTCATAGTCTTGGTCTTGTCACCTTCATGACATTCTGGATGATCAATCTGGTACCACGCATCGAACCAAAATGGGCAGAACCTGACGTGAAGTTCCTCGCCGGCCCACACAGTCATCCCCAATACACCCGGTTCACAGCCATCGAGATTGTTGCAAAAGATCTTGACACGACCCTCGTT